GTATTTTTCAATGATAAAGGTTGGCAATTTAAAAATGCTTCAGGTAGCTATATTTTAACATATAGCCCACACTATTTTGTAAAGAGCCTTTATCTTTAGTACCGTCTTTGATAAAGAACAGATTGTCAGAATCTGTCTTGAAATATGTGGGTTCTAAGTTGTGCAGGCTCTTTAAGGACAAGTCACTGGAATAAAATCCACCCACACACTGAAAACTGAAGAATGAATGAATCCATGCCTGAATGAACAAGGATTTGGCCGCCAGGAATGTCCTTGCAGAGTGGTCCAACAGCAAAGAAATGAGGAGCCTGTGTCCTACAATGCCCCACAGAGGAGAACCCACTTGTAATGCCACACTAACACTTTTAAATTATTTTAACTTCTATTGTGGAGGTCAGAGGACAGCTTGAGAGAGTCAGTTCTCTTCTACTATGTGGGCTCCAGGGATTGAACTCAAGTCATTGAGACTGGCAGCAAGTATCTTTACCTGCTGTGCCATTTCACCATCCCATGAAGCGCTTTCTTCTCCTGACTAACTCTTCCATCAAATGGTTGAGCATCACTATTTTCTCATTTCCAGGATGAGGAACTAGAAAGACAGAAAAGTCAAACAGAGTTACTCAACTGGGCTCAGAATCTACTCCATCTCATTTCTTCTGCAACCAAATTTTGAATTTGCATGGTTTGTCATACATCTGCATAACAATGGGCGCTCTGATCATGATGGTCAGATGAGTTTATAGTCCTCTTGTACCCTATACGGCCACACAGTTGACCTTGGTAGCACTGTGTTCTGCAAAGGAATAGAGGTGTAGGTCTTTCTCCTACAAGCTTTTTAACAATCGAAGCATTCTCAAAGTACTAAGATTGCTAGGACTGCTTAATAAAATATTACTCAGGATATTAACTCTAGGCCACAGATTCTCCAGGCCACACCACCAGGAACCACAGATTAACAGCAGGAATCTTAAGGTGACAGGAATGTAAAATAGCTTGACACATCACATTCGCAGCCAAGAGCAAATAGGAATGGTGGCAAACATCCCTACTATCCAGCTCACTTTCTCCAAACTTAAGCAGGCTAGGGCCCAAGCTAGGTATGTGCACATCAATTAATGCAATCAATCCCCACAGACATACACTGTATTAGACTGTATAGGACAGCTTCTCATTGAGACTGGCTTCCCAGGTGATTCAAGATTGTATCAAGTTGAAAAAGAAAATTATCCTACCTACCTTTGTACACTTTCTAAGGAATTCTGATTCAAATGGATTATAACATAATAGTACATATAACCAACACTTTTGAAATTTTTATTTTCCATGCAGTTACTAATACTGGAGAAAGTCATACCTCTACAATTCAAATTTAATTCTTTTAGGAGGACATACATCATAACTTTACTGTACATTTATTTGACTACCAATGGATTATCATTTCCAGGAAATGACCCTGAAATTTTCCACTAAAGATGTGTGCCACCACTGCCTAGCTCTTCCACCAAGTTTCTAATCCCTGTGAGTGACAGAATTCTTATGATCCTGTGTAAGTACCAGTTCTCCATCAGACACTCATAACTATTCACACTGGGGCTATGGTGGCCTCATTGCATCCTTTGTTTCTGATGGCTACGGTTCATCCCTCATCCTCTGCTTCCAAAGCTCATCTGGAGGATCACAGGTTGCCCACACCCGGCACTCCCAATAGTCGCCCTTAGATAATTTAACTTTATGATACACAGTATTTATGACATAGTATTGATTTTTGTTTTCTTCCAATCAATCTGAAACTGTCCATTTTGTACCACATCTCTCCAGCACCTAAAACTCTACCTAATCCATTACTGAATGTTCATGATCAATAGAATGAGTATTGTATCATGAACAGTAAACTACAATCCTTACTATAGACACAAATCTGTACACTGTCAGAATCAAACTGTTAACTGACACCTACACTGGGGTTATTGCACTATGGCTGAGTTTGCAGATTTGACGTATGTATGTATGTATGTATGTATGTATGTATGTATGTATGTATGTACTACGTAAGTGTAAGAAACACACCCGACTACTTCTATGGGACACATCTAGCTTCCCTACTACTCGCTCTTTTGGAAAAGGGTCTTTACCATGTAGGCCAGACTGGCCTTCAATCCTCAATCCTCATGCCTCCTAAATGTTGAGAATCCACCAATTCATATTTTATTTTGTTTTTTCGAAACAGGGCTGTTCTATGTAACAGTTCTAGCTGTCCTGGCACTCAATGTGTAGACCAGGCTAGCCTCAAACTCACAGAGATCCACCTGTCTCTCTCTCCCAAGTACTTGGACTAAAGGTGTGCATGACTATGCCCAGCCAGATCATATTTTTTAATGTTAAAAAAAAACTGAGTTCTACAAAACTGCAGTGCTATTGTGTTCTTAGGTTATCAACCTCATGAAACAAGTTGGAACATTTCACTACAATTTTTTAATGCTCTGTAACAATTCAAATAGTGTAGAAACTGTCTGTGGTGGGTTTTTTTTGGGGGAGGGTTGTTTTTGGGTTTTGAAACAGGATCTCTCAATATAGACCTGGCTGTCCTGGAACTTGATATAGACAAGGCTGGCCTCGAACCCACAGAGATTGAGCCACCTGTCTCTGCCTCGCAAATGCTAGAATTAAAGGTATGCGCCACCACACACCCTTGAACCACTTTCAGCTGGCTGTATCCACTGAAGCTTTCTCACTTGTTTTTAATACTGCCCCTTGTGGTCCCATGAGCTAACAACAAGAAGCTGTTCTGCCTGGCTTATTCTGTCAGGGGAGGAGTGTTCATCATCAACAGTGTTACTGGTATTACGTAATTATATCCTTACAAAGAAATGGTAAACTACCATTACCTCACAGGTCACTTTACCACCACCTGGGAGAACAAATGCTTCTCTCTGCTCCAAGTGTGTAGGTTTCCCAGTTTTGGCAAACTGCCTTTTATTACAGATCCATATAAGGGAACTACTTTTTAAAGCAGGGTTTCACTACACAGCGTTGGGAGCCACTATTTAGACCACGCTGGCCTTGAATTCCTGGAGACTGGCCTGCCTCTGGCTCTCTGCCTCTGGATTGATGGGATCAAAGGCCATGTACTGCCACGGCAAACCAAAGAGATTTCTACTTCAACAGTAGCATTCACCTAGCACTAGCTGCACGTCCAGGACTGCACACTCACCTAGCACTAGCTGCACGCCCAGGACTGCACACTCACTGAGCACACACTAGCTGCACGCCCAGGATTGCACACTCACCGAACACACACTAGCTGCACGCCCAGGACTGCACACTCACCGAGCACACACTAGCTGCATGCCCAGGATTGCACACTCACCGAGCACACACTAGCTGGAAGCCCACGACTGTACACTCACCTAGCACTAGCTGGATGCCCAGGACTGCACACCACCTAGCACTAGCTGTACACCTAGGACTACACACTCACCTAGCACTAGCTGGATGCCCAGGACTGCACACCACCTAGCACTAGCTGTACACCTAGGACTACACACTCACCTAGCACTAGCTGTACACTCAGGACTGCACACTCAGCTAGCACTAGCTGTACACCTAGGACTACACACTCAGCTAGCACTAGCTGCACGCCCAGGACTGCACACTCACCTAGCACTAGCTGGATGACCTGCACTGCGGAGCCAGCCTTTAAAATTTGTCTATGTCTCAAAGAAAGTATTTTAAGCAGAAAAGAAACATGATCACACGGTTCTTTAAGATACAACTGATAAGAGTGCTAAGAAGCACTTAGAGGCACAGGATGGTCAAGTTTCATAGCATCACAGAAACACAAATGGCATAGTTGTGTCTCACACTACAATGGACTGGAAACTACAGGGCTTGGTGGCATGGGGGTGAGAAAGAAATGACTGAGGATGTCTCTCCAGATGAGGACACTGATGATGAGCAAGACACACATTCTGCCTGCAGGCTTTTCTACGTTTACATTCAGAGTTTTTCTCTCTAGTACGAATCTCTGATGTTGAGAAAGATATGCCCATTGGCTGAAGGCTTTATTACACTGCTTACATTGATAAGTTTTCTCCCCAGTATGAACTCTGGTGTTGAATAAAATGAGCATTCTGACTGAATGTCTTCCCACAACCAGCACATTCAAAGGGCTTTTCTCCTGGGTTTACTCTTTGCTGCTGAAGAAGGTGGGCACTCTGGCTGAAGGCTCTCCACATTCAATACATTCACGGGGTTTCTCCCTGGATGAATTCTCTGTGGAAGAGTAAGGCTTGATATTTTGTTAAATGTTTTCTCAGTCATTACATTTTACCTATTTTTCTCCAAAGTTTTATTTATACTTTTTCATGAATTATTTTCTGTACCAAAAGTATATATTCTCTCTCCCATGGGAAAAAAAAATCTGTATTAGATAAGATAATGAATGCACGTGGAAGTTTGTCCCAGACTGAGCAGTGGTCTCTCTCCACAATAAAGGTATCTATATGAGTGGCTGTCCCAAGCCTAAAATGTGTTTGCTGACTGATTCGATTCCAAGCAAGTCTTTACAGCTCCAGTTTTCCCCAAGTGTGGAATATTCCAGAGCATAATTTGTAAGCCTTTCCACAATTACTGCCGAGGAAATTTTCTCTTTATAAATGTTCCAGTTATGTTGGGCAGTGGTGGCACATGCCTTTAATCCCAGCTCTTGGGAGACAGAGGCAGGCAGATCTCTGTGACTTCAAAGATAGCCTGGTCTACAGAATGAGTTTCAGGACAGCCAGAACACAGAGAAACCCTGTCTTGAAAAATAAATAAATAAATATCCGATTTGGACATAATTCTTTAGTCACCCACATGTACTTCATGTCTGAAAGACATTGACAAACATTTCCTTTAATACATGCTAGGGAGGAACCTTGCAAACCAAGAGCCCAGAAGAGGTTAAATCAGATGCCACCACCATCCAAGCACACCTGAAATAAGCCATCACTGGCCATAAGGTCAATATTATATACAGTCTTTTCTTTACACCAATACTTATGGGTGGAACTTACCTGCAACTTACATGCTGGGTGGTTTTGGTAAATTCTGTTATCAAACAACATGCTGTATTCATCAACAATTATTTTGTAAACTCTCTTTTTCATTTTACTTAAAATATTTCAGTTTTGTGTGTACGAGTGTTTTCTCTGTATGTACATATAGGTACCACAAGTGTGCCTGGTATCTGCAGAGGCCAGAAGAGTACATCAGAACTGGAGTTAGGGGTGGTTGTGAGGCCCCAAATGGGTGCTGAGAACCAGGCTCGGGTCTTCTACAAGAACAGCAAGTCCTCTTGCCCACTGAGCCGTCTCTGACAACACTTGCTTTCTTACAACTTCTGACACATTTCAGTGTAAACAATAATGTGGAGGACGTTTTTCCTCAAAGGCTTTATGAACTGATTTGTGAAACTAGACTGTGGTCTATTCTCTTTGGGGAGGTACTCGACAAACAGCCTCCTGTATTGCTTTCTAGCCTTTCGCCTGTATTTCAGCCCTGCTCACCCACACTTCCGCATTCTCCTAGGATACCACCCGCTCATCCAGACTTCACATTAGTGACGGAGCTGGGGAGAACAGAGTCATGTCATGCTACTTTGTATTCAGGGGGCGGGGATCATTGGGGATCAAATTCAGGTCTAGTATCGGCTAACCCACACCCCAGATCTTCACACGATTCTCTTGAGTCCTTTGTGTTACAGGTTTCCTCTCATTTGTCCTCAGTTTATATGTTTTATTCCTTTTCTTAAAGACATCTTTAATTACATTAGATCTACAGTTTTCCAATTCATTTACTCCTACTTTGATCTCTAGAAACACCAACAACTACAGACTATTCGTAACTTATTTTGGCTTGGATTAGATGCTTACTTATTCTGCTTTTCTGTTGCTGTGATAAAACACTCCAACCCAAAGCAACTTGGGAGAGAAAAGGATTTATTTCTGCTTACACTTCCAGGTCACAGTCTATCACAGAGGGAAATCGGGACAAGAATCCAAGCAGGAACAGAAGTAGAAATGATCCAAGAATCCTGCCTCCTGAGGCACCCCTGGCTCACGCTCAGCTAGCTTCCTTACCTATAACCTGATCAGAGGGGCAGATGTTAAGAAAGACTTTGGTATGCACAGGAAATAAACAAGGTAAATGTGGTAGGTTGTGCCAGTGGAGAAGAAACTGCTATGACAGCCTGCACCAATCCGGGAGAGCATCTGAATTATCCCTCAGATGCCAAAGGAAGAGACTGCTGAGCCAACCTCTCCAGCTCCAGTCATCCTGCACCCACCTGGACACCTCTCCATCTGTCATCATGGCTCCTTCTCGTGTTACAGTAACGGGATCTCATCTGGTTTTAAAACGCAAAGATCTGTACATAAAACATGAACGCTGAGAGTAAAGTTTGTAAGCAAGAGCTACAGTTGTCTAAATTGGCAGGTCTCAACCCTCCTAATGCTGTGACACTTTAATGCAGTTCCTTGTGGCTTGGTGTCCCCCAACCATAAAATTATCTTCATTGCTACTTCATAACTGCAATTTTGTTACTGTTAAGAATCTTAATGTAAATATCTATGTTTTCCAATGACCTTAGGCAACCTTGCCTGTGAAGGCTCATTGGACATGCCCCAAAGAGGTCACATGACCCACAGGTTGAGAACCACCCGTCTAAATGGTCTTAAAGAGGGACAGTGTTGGAAAATGATAAAGCAAGAGAAGACACTGAGTCACAGTGAACATCGGTGCTACCTTCCCCTACATCCAGGTTCCTGTAGGTGCCCCGAATTGCCTTCCTGTGCAAAAGCCTCTGGGCAAGACTCAGTCATTCCCACTCACCTTGGCAGAAGTTTATGGCCACATCTGTGAAAGTCACTAGCCCTAAAATGACAAACAAAATCTGAGCTCAGGTTCCTGGGCTCATGTGGCCCTAGGGCACATGAGTTATACTGCTCATTACAAGATAAAATAATGTGTGCAAGTAGCCAGGCTCTGGTGACACACACCTTTAATCCCAGCACTCAGGAGGCAGAGACGGGAGGATCTCTGTGAGTTCGTGGCCATTCCAGTCAACAGAGTGAGTTCCAGGACAGCCAGGGCTACACAGCGAAACTCTGTCTCAAAAATCCAAAACATAAATAAATCAATAAAAAGAATGTGTGCAAGTAATTGCACCAACGGTCTGAATGACCTAGGTGAGATGCTCACTAGCCTTTGCTGCCTGGTTATGCTGTACTTACTTTTCAAAACGGAAAAATACTCTGTTCCAGAAGCAGCTCAGGAATCCCAAGTCCCTCCAACACTTCCCCTCAGCAGAGTCTAACTGCCTGCCCCCCCAACACTTCCCCTCAGCAGAGTCTAACTGCCTGCCCCCCCCACACTTCCCCTCAGCAGAGTCTAACTGCCTGCCCCCCCCAACACTTCCCCTTAGCAGAGTCTAACTGCCTGCCCCCCTCCAACACTTCCCCTCAGCAGAGTCTAACTGCCTGCCCCCCCCAACACTTCCCCTTAGCAGAGTCTAACTGCCTGCCCCCCTCCAACACTTCCCCTCAGCAGAGTCTAACTGCCTGCCCCCCCAACACTTCCCCTCAGCAGAGTCTAACTGTGCTGCTCCTCCCTTCACAAAGATCCTTCACCAAAGGAAGCAAGGAGAGAAAATAAAATGAACTTTCTGATGGTTTGAATGAAAAATGTCCTCCATCAGCTCAGCTATCAAACCCTTTATTACCTGCTGTTTTGGGAAGTTGTGGACACTTCAGGAAGTGGAGCCTTCTAAAGGAAATACACCACTGGGATGTGGCTTTCAAGGGTGTAGCCTCATCCCATTTCCTGTTCACTCTGTATCTTCCCTGTGTGTGGTTGAGAAAAGACATTTCAGCGTCCTACTCTGGCCGCTTGATTCCATGCCTCCCCCACCATGATAGATGCTAATCCCTGAAACCATAAGCTAACCTAAACTCTTTCTGCCATAAGCTGCTTTTTGGTATTTTATCATAGCAACAAGAAGAAACTAATGCAGATTTCATGCCAGGCTGTGTGAACTGTCCTGACCTTCACTCGTATAAAGGAAGGGACATCATTTTAATTCACCCACTGCATCAGACGGTCAGTCAGCGGTCCTTCCCCACTGCATCAGACAGTCAGTCAGGGGTCCTTCCCCAACTGCATCAGACGGTCAGTCAGAGGCCCTTCCCCACTGCATCAGACGGTCAGTCAGAGGCCCTTCCCCACTGCATCAGACGGTCAGTCAGCGGTCCTTCCCCACTGCATCAGACGGTCAGTCAGCGGTCCTTCCCCACTGCATCAGACGGTCAGTCAGCGGTCCTTCCCCACTGCATCAGACGGTCAGTCAGTGGTCCTTCCCCACTGCATCAGACGGTCAGTCAGTGGTCCTTCCCCACTGCATCAGACGGTCAGTCAGTGGTCCTTCCCCACTGCATCAGACGGTCAGTCAGTGGTCCTTCCCCACTGCATCAGACGGTCAGTCAGTGGTCCTTCCCCACTGCATCAGACGGTCAGTCAGTGGTCCTTCCCCACTGCATCAGACGGTCAGTCAGTGGTCCTTTCCCACTGCATCAGACGGTCAGTCAGTGGTCCTTCCCCACTGCATCAGACGGTCAGTCAGTGGTCCTTTCCCACTGCATCAGACGGTCAGTCAGTGGTCCTTCCCCACTGCATCAGACGGTCAGTCAGTGGTCCTTCCCCACTGCATCAGACGGTCAGTCAGTGGTCCTTCCCCACTGCATCAGACGGTCAGTCAGTGGTCCTTCCCCACTGCATCAGACGGTCAGTCAGTGGTCCTTCCCCACTGCATCAGACGGTCAGTCAGTGGTCCTTCCCCACTGCATCAGACGGTCAGTCAGTGGTCCTTCCCCACTGCATCAGACGGTCAGTCAGTGGTCCTTCCCCACTGCATCAGACGGTCAGTCAGTGGTCCTTCCCCACTGCATCAGACGGTCAGTCAGTGGTCCTTCCCCACTGCATCAGACGGTCAGTCAGTGGTCCTTCCCCACTGCATCAGACGGTCAGTCAGTGGTCCTTCCCCACTGCATCAGACGGTCAGTCAGTGGTCCTTCCCCACTGCATCAGACGGTCAGTCAGTGGTCCTTTCCCACTGCAATGGATGATCAGTCAGAGGTCCTTTCCCACTGCATCAGATGGTCAGTCAGTGGTCCTTCCCACTGCAATGGATGATCAGTCAGCGGTCCTTCCCCACTGCAATGGATGATCAGTCAGTGGTCCTTCCCCACTGCAATGGATGATCAGTCAGCGGTCCTTCCCCACTGCAATGGATGGTCAGTCAGCGGTCCTTCCCACTGCAATGGATGATCAGCCAGTGTTTCTTTCCCACTGCTCTGCAGTAAGTTTTCTCTCTTCCTGGAGCACTTACCCTACTATGTAAGTGCTTTGTGCCTTTTCATATTTCTAAGAGACTATCAACTCTCATAGGGCCCAGGCATGCACTGGTTCTCAAAGTTCCCTAAAAGATTATTCTTCTACCTTCTGAGGCCCATAAAAGGACTGAACACAAAGAAGAGTGATGTAGGATTCCCCTCTGTATGCTGTGAATACCATTGGTAAATAAAGAAACTGCCTTGGCCTGTTGATAGGACAGAACTTAGGTAGGCTGGGAAAACTAAACTGAATGCTGGGAAAAAGGAGACAGAGTCAGGGAGAAGACATGGAGCCATCCCCAAAGACAGACATGCTGAAACTTTGCCAGTAAGCCACTACCATGTGACGATACACAGATTAATGGAGATGGGTTTAATTAATATGTAAGAGTTAGCCAATAAGAAGCTAGAGCTAAGAGGCCAAGCAGTGATTTAATTAACACAGTTTCTGTGTGGTTATTTTGGGTCTGAGCTGCTGGGCAGCTGGGAAACAAACAAGTGGTCTTCTTACAACAGAAGAGGTTTAGATCCAGTCCTTTCTCAGATGAAAAAACAAACAACTCTGAGGGGGACAATGCAATGGATTATTGAGTCCACCCCCATGTTCCATGCATCAGAAACAGAGGAAATAGGAAACAAGCCCCAAGCTTATAGTCTTAGTAATTTTCAAAGGGAAATAAACACTGCCAAATCCTTAAGCACAAGACTTCACTTCAGAAAGGAAGGAGGGAACACTAACTCACTCACCAAGGACATGGCTTTCACCAACTTGGTTCCTTCCTGACCTTTCACTTCTTCCTGGTTCTTCATTTGTAGAAGGGCTTCACCCTGAAAGTATACAACTGACAGATGAGAAATAAGTCATGAAGATCAAGCTGCAAAAAGTACAACTCAGAAACACACCAACACCACAGAAAGAGAGAAAGACAAACAGTGAAATAGACATTCCAAGCAACTGAGAACAACTAGCCAGGTGTTCTGTGGAAACCTAAGAACACAGCTACAACCAACCAATCTTGCAACACTTCCCTCAGCTAGGCCAATTCATTAATAGGATATGTTGCATATTTAGTATTCTTTCTCTATTTTTTTTAAATCTTATCTTATATGTATGGGTGTTTTGCCTATATGTCTGTGTACCACATGGATACCTGGTCCATGGAAACCAGAAAATGACATTGGCTTCCCTGGGACTGGAGTTACAGACTGTTGTGAGCAATCATATGGGAGCTGATAATAGAAGTCAGGTCCTCTGGACTGGAAGAGCATCCAGTGCTCTTAACTGCTGATCCATCTCTTCAGTCCTTTTAATACTCTTTTAATCTCCCCAGCCTTTAAAAGAAAGTAGGGAGGAACCTCACCATTTTACATAGTAAAACTCTGGGAAGACATTTTTACAAATCAAGCAGCTGTAAACAATGAGAAACACAGTCAGCAAGCTAGTAGTCTGATTCCAGATTCTTTATCCAAGTAGACACCACAAAATATACCTCCCTGCGAAACTAGTCAAGATGTAATGAGGTGAATTCCTGCAGAAGCCATTTCCCCAAGGGCTGTGACTTCCATACAACAAACAGCCCTTGCAGATTTCAGAGAATTGTTGTGGGACCAACTTGCAATTTGCTTTATGCCAAATGAGTTTTGATGAAGTCCCTTGTCAACTGCTCTGACGTGTTCCTTTAACTATGAAGGGGAGAGTAGCTGAATTAATCCTGATTTTCTTTTTTAAAATATGTATTTACTTCACTGTATGTGCATGTGTGTGTACCTGAGTGCATGTATGTGCACCACATGAATGCAGGAGCAGGTGAAAAACTAAATGCTGATGCCCTTGAACAGCAGGAGGGCACTCAGAAGTGTTCTTATTGCTGGTATTCACTCCCTAAATTCCGGGTAACACCGAGACCAAGATGGCAGAGTCTGGTTAAGTGACTCTGGGCAATCAAAGTCCCTTCCTGTACTCAGCTCCACACTGTAAACCCAAGTGGCCTTCCAAATCTTTAGACTGGAGTTTACCAGCACTGGAGACCATGACACCCTCCCATGGCACTTGGGACTTCAAATAACATCTTCCTCAAATCTCAAATTTCACTTTTTGTCTTTTTTTTTTAGCCACACCCAAACCATCTCTCATTCTTACCTAAGTAGTGTCTGCTTCTAGAAAAAGTCAAGCAAGAAATACTTCAGTTGCCTGGACACTGTGTATGGATTCTTGAGTTTGCCACTGAGACCACGTATTTAATAGTGAGTGAGGTCTTGCATTCATTCCAGTACGCACTGTGGTCCAGCACGCGCCGCTGGGACCTGAAATCAAACAGGGAAATAAGTCCCACACATCGCCCCCCCCCCCGCCCCGCCCACCTCGCATCCTGTTTCACACTTCCCCAAAGTCTCCTCCCGGTCAGTCCCACATTCCCACACTCACACACAACACGCGTGTCAGATCTACGGAGGCCAGATCACTCACGCGCCGACCTGAACACCACGCCCAGCTGCCTTCTCAGATCAGGTCTAACTTCCACTCCAAACCCAAAAAGAATTCCACCTGAGACCCCGACAGGATTGAAGCAACACTGACTTCCGGTTTCTACCGGAGGTGGTCGTGAGGTGCTCCGCAATGGCAACTGGGATATGTAGTCCTCACCCAGCGAGTGTAGGATGAGATGTCCCAGGAGCCACTCTCTGTTCCCGAATTGGTGTCCGCAGATTCAGAATACAGTCCTAAGAAGCCTCTCAGCCTCGTGTCTGAATCCAGAAGTACAGGCAGACTACTCATCACCCGCTCACGTGAGACTATCAGTTTGGGAAGATAAGTGGACAGGCCCAAAATGGGAGACCAAGCTTTAAAGCCAAGGAAGCTGCTGTGGCATCTGCAGTAGAAGACAGCTGTAGGCAAGGGGTGAGATTTAGATTTAGGGACACAGATCAAAAGACAGGAGAGAAATATTTGATTTTGTGATTTATGTACTTAGGATTTGAGTCTCTGTGACCGATTTCGTGCTTTAGTTATTGCTCCCTGACATAACCCCCTTTATCCCCGGTTTACCTTTCCCTGCAAGGCTGAATATTCCAAGAATACACATCTCCACCCTATTCAGGGCTTAATTTTCAGTGACAAGAGTGTTTGACACATAGGATCTGTGGGGCAGACAACCGAGACAGATCTACGTGTGACAACCAGGTGTTCAGTATAATTAAAGCATACTCTTAAGAAGTTACAAGTCAGGCATGGTAGCACAGGGCCTTAATCCCAGCACCTGGGAGGCAGAAGCAGGTAGATCTCTGTGAGTTCGAGGTCAGCCTAGTGTACAGAGTGAGAAGTCACTACTACTATCCTCAATGCAAATTTGTTTAAATTCCATTTTGTTGTTCTTTTGTTTTTCAAGACAGGGTTTCTTATGTAGCTTTGGAGCCTGTCCTGGAACTAGCTCTGTAGACCAGGCTGGCCTCGAACTCACAGTGATCCGACTGCCTCTGCCTCCGGGGGGCTTGGATAAAAGGCGTGCGCCGCCACCACCCCAACTTTGTTTAAAGTCTTAAAAGCACGCCTGGTGTTGCTTATTTTCTTGTTAATAGGCAAAGATGCTGGATGAGGCAATTTGGGCCTCTAATTGGCAGCTATTGGACTCTCTCTCTCTCTCTCTCTCTCTCTCTCTCTCTCTCTCTCTCTCTCTCTCTCTCTCTCTCTCTCTCTCTCTCTCTCTCTCTCTCTCTCGCTACCTGGCTACTTTAGGCAATAGGACTGTCTACCAAAACAGCCAAATGGACTACCTTTATGCAAACACGTTGGTCTTGAACACTGTGGCATGCCTTGAGTGTGCAACTATGACAGATGATTTCTCTGGCCCCTAAAGGTCCAGACACAGCCAGGGCTGTTCCCAGCAGTCGTTATAAGGCTCAGTGAACTCTATACCCCAGATTCTTAAAAACTGCATAACTGAACGTAAATACTGAAAAGGCTACAAACAACCAAACATTCGGAATCTGACACACAGTGAAACTGAGGTCTCTGGTGGCAGTCTCATGCTGCATCAAAGGCCCCACTGCAGCCTTGCTTCGGAACACGTGTACTTTGCTCTGTGGATGAGGTCACACCATGCAGTGCCAGCAAACACTGTCTGAACCAGCCTGACAGATTTGAGACTTGTATGTTAGGAACTGCAGTGCCCTCACTACAGGTACAAAGTATTCTGCTCATAAAGGAACAATATAAAGTAAAATAAAAGGAGACATGAAATATCTTCCTCCTGCCATTCCTCAGCATGTATTAGTGTATCTTTGAATTGGAGTAGTGTATTTGGAATTTTTAAATTCCTGTTTTGAGTTGCTCCCTTGAGGATCCAGAGCTCTCTTCTGGCCTCTGTGGGTACACAAACACATGTGGCACACACACACACACACACACACACACACACACACAAAATCCAAGTACTTGGGAGGCAGGGGCAGACAGATCTCTATGAATTCAAAGACAGCCTGGACTACATAGCAAGTTCCATAATGGTCAAAGACTACATAGAGACCCTGTCAAAAAAAAAATCCTTAAAAAAATTTATATTCTTGCCTGAATGTTTCCTGAAGTTGTCAACATAGCCTCATGGGACTCGTTTTGGAAAGATAATTCATAAACATTTTAGTGGTTTTTCTAAAGATATATTTTATTGAGTTATATATCATTGAATGTCATCTCTTCATAACTTGCTCTATAAGCGGCATTTAGAGCATCTGTTGCACTGACAGCACTTGTGTGAGGTGTGACGGTCCTGAGGACGACTCTCATGAGGAAGTTTTCTCCTCCACCACATGAGTTCCAAGAATCAAACTCGGGCCATCAGGATTGGCAACAGGTACCTTAACCTGTGAAGCCCAATACTCTTGGGCTTGTGTTTGAGTCTTTGGTCAGGGTTTACTATTGCCATGAGGTTACAAACTTGTGTGCATTCTCCTCTATTTTCAACTGTAAATATTTATGGCTTAATGTGGCCATACAGTCTCCTGTGCAACTAGTCAACTCTGCCACTGTTAAAAAACAAAATAAAAAAGAGCCAAAGATTGTTGATAAACCAATGACCATGCTGTGGCTCAATAAAACTCTACTTTGGCTCTCCGAGCCAGATGGCCTTCATTACACCACAACTTCCCCTCCGAAGAGACGGAAGCACCACCAACACTATGGAAGTGAATGTGTGGCTGCATGCCACACAGCTTCACCCAGACACTGTGAACCTGTGGGTGTGGCTGCATGCCACACAGCTTCACCCAGACACTGTGAACCTGTGACTGCATGCCACACAGCTTCACCCACAGACACTGTGAACCTGTGACTGCATGCCACACAGCTTCACCCAGACACTGTGAACCTGTGACTGCATGCCACACAGCTTCACCCAGACACTGTGAACCTGTGGGTGTGGCTGCATGCCACACAGCTTCACCCAGACACTGTGAACCTGTGACTGCATGCCACACAGCTTCACCCACAGACACTGAAATGCAAGTTTCTCACAGTCACCGGGCTGAAAACACTCCTCCAATGTTTAAAACCACTTTAAACACCTTTTTAGAAATTTAGATTACAGACCATAAAAAAATCATCAGTGAGCCTTCATAAGTCAGTTTGCTGCCCCCTACTATAGATCAGTTTCCCGAGTGAATGTTTCATTAGACGTTTACCAAGAATGCATTCATAAACCAGTGACTTTAAACAGATCAAATCCTTCAGAGTTTTTCCACTCTTAAGTAATTTGTTGGTAGTTTTAACTACACACATATAAAACCTTTCCCTTTTCCAGCTGTTTGGGTGGCCTACATACTTACGTTACCTATCCTTTCACTGTCACGGGTATTCAGCAGAGCTTTCTCACGGGAGTTCTATTACCCTACAGTCACCTAGTTCAGCACTATGGGATCAACTGTTCCGTTTTTACTTAGAGATAGAGGCTCACTGAGTTGTCCCAGCTGGCCTTGAATTCATGAACACTAAGATTACAGATGACCCCACCATACCCGTGGCTTAGAAACAAGCTTTCAATGAAAAGAATCAAGCCACATCAACAACTCAGAGGACTCCCTTCCTGTTCTGAAACCAGGTTTCTACTGCACCATTTTTATCAGGGCTGACCACAATAAAATTTCCATTTTCAAAAATAAACTTTTTTTTATAATACTTGGTACGGGTCAGGCACTGTGCTAAGCACATCTTGGGCATTAACCAATGAATATAAGTTTTTGATGAGCAAATTAATTACATTGATACTCCAAAAATAACTCAACCCGACTGAAACATGAAGAACTGTCTTGTAATAGACAGAGGGAACAAAGGGACAGAGAAATGATTGTTCAAAGCAGTGTAGTGGAAATGGCAAGATTTTGAGATCATGAGGGTGAAAGTGAGGATGGATTCCAGACAAATTTGGGGAAGAAATCCACCGGACTGGATGTGGAAGGCAAAGAAGGGTGAGCGGGTGACTCTCCAGAATGAATTCGCTGATGGTGAGCCAAGTGTGCAGTCTGCCTGAAGGCCTTCCTGCCCTTCTTACGGTTATACGTTCTCTCTCCAGTGTGGACTCTCTTATGTTGGTTAAGGTGTCCAATTTGGATGAAGGTTTTCCTACATTCCTTACATTCATACGGTTTCTTCCCAGAATGAATTCTCTGATGTACACTAAGGGACTGGCGATGGCTAAAGGCTTTGCCACATGCACTACACTCGTAAGGTTTCTCTCCAGTGTGACATCTACGATGACAGATAAGGGATGACTTGGTCTTGAAGGCCTTCCCACATTCCACACACTCATAAGGCCTCTGGCCAGTGTGAAGCCTCTGGTGCTGAGTGCAGGAAGAGTTATCACCAAAGGCCTTCCCACACTCCAGACACTTATAGGGCTTCTCCCCGGTGTGAACCCTCTGGTGCTGAATGAGGTGAGTCATCTGGCTGAAGGCCTTGCCACACTCCTTACATTCATATGGTTTCTCTCCCGTGTGAGTTTTTTGGTGTTGTGCAAGGTGAGCCTTCTGCGTAAACGCTTTACTACACACCTCGCATTCATATGGCTTTTCTCCTGTGTGAATTCGCTGATGGGTGGCAAGCTGTGAGCTGATGCTGAAGGATTTCCCACATTGCCCACACTCAAAGGGCTTTTCCCCCGTATGGATCCTCAAATGACTAGCGAGGTGTATGTTCTGCCTAAAGGCTTTCCCACATTCTTTGCACTTAAAGGGCTTTTCTCCAGAATGCACCCTTTGGTGCTGAGTGAGTGATGCATGATGGCTGAAGGCTTTCCTACAAATCTCACACTCATATGGTTTTTCTCCAGTATGAATCCTTTGGTGCACAGTGAGGGATGAGCCATATCGAAAGGACTTGTGACACACGTCACATTCGTACGGTTTCTCTCCAGTGTGAATTCTCCTATGTTGATTAAGCCCTATGTGGTCACTGAAGGCTTTACCACAGTCGATGCAATCAAAGGGTTTCTCCCCTGTGTGATAGTATCTCCAGTGACGAACAAGGGAGGTGTTCTGTATGAAAGCTTTTCCACACTCAATGCACTCGTACGGCTTCTTGCCTGTGTGGCACCTCTGGTGCCGTGTGAAAGAGGAGCCATCGCTGAAAGCCTTCCCACACTCTTCGCATTTGTAGGGTTTCTCTCCAGTATGAATTCTCTGGTGCACTGTAAGGGATGAACTCTGGGTGAAAGTTTTCTTACACTCATTACATTTGAAAAGCTTTTTTCCTGCATAGATTCCAGGTTCCTTTACGACCACTGAATTTTGGGGAAAACTTTTACCTGAATCACAATTATGACTTTTCTCTTCTGAAATGTTCAAATGAAACCATCTTCCAGATTTGATATGCGCATGATCTCTCCCTTCTGAGAAGGCTTCGTTCCTAGTAACTGTCTCTTGCTCAAACGGTATGTCTTGACCATTCCTTTCAAACACACACTCAGAATCCCAATCTTCTCTGAAGGTGGAACACTCAAGTTTAGTGCTGGAAGGTCTGTTTGTTAATCCTTCAGCATCCGAGTCTTGCTTTGGAAACAGATCCTGGGCCTCACATACAGCCTGCTGGCCTAAAATAGATAAAAAAATGTTCTCTCCTTTAATGTCCTTGTTTCTCTGCAATACCTGAATCAAAAATGTCAGTTACTTCATGCAAGTTATCCACATCATATCTATCTTCTCCATTAGAGGGATTCTTCAACATTTCACACATGCACACACACAGGCATAGAGAGGCGTGTGTACACGCAAATACACACACACAGGCATAGAGAGGCGTGTGTACACACAAACACACAGGCATAGAGAGGTGTGTGCACATGCAAACACACACACACACAGGCATAGAGGCGTGTGCACACGCAAACACACACACACAGGCATAGAGAGGCGTGTGCACACACACACACACACACACACACATACACACGCTTTCCCCTTCTCGTCATCTACTAATGCCCAGCTGATAGGCAAAAGAAACAAAAAGCCATTTAACCTTTAAAGATACCCAAGAAACTGAAAGGCTGACAAGCACCCAAGGCAGTGAGAATAAAAAAAAAAAACTACAGGGAAATGTGATGTGGGAGTCCCCTCTGTATGCTGTGAGTGTGTTCTGTTGCCATTTGGTAATGAATAAAGGTGCTTTGGCCTACCAGCAGGGCAGAGCACAGCAGGGCGGGAATTCCAAGCAGAGATAGAGGAGAAAAGTAGGTGGAGTTAGGGAGATGCCACGTAGCCACCAAAGGAGAAAGATGTGAGCTGCCAGCCAGAACCTTGATGCACAGATTAATAGAGGTGAGTTAATTTAAGATGTAAGAGTTAGCTAAGAATATGGATAGGCTAATAGGCCAAGCAGTGTTGTAATTAATAAAGCTTCTGTGGAATTATTTTGGGTCTGGGCGGCTGGGAAAAAAACAAGCAGTCTCCACAAACAGAAATGAGCCGTTAAAAGAAGACGCAAAGAAAGGAGTCATTCTGAAATCTAAGAGTGTGATATTTCTCTTTAGACTTGTCAGACTTGACAGTTTCCAGTGTGTGGTGGTGAGAATTTGCATCCTATCCAGAGCAACAGTGACGTCATCATACCATCTCCACACTCGCCTGAGAACAAGCCTGGTGCCAGCTCTCTTTGCACCACAGAGGGCATCTTCTCTTGCCCCAGCAATGAGACAAAATCTGCTTTGGAAACACAGTGTCCTAAAGGAGTAAATGAGACAGTATGTGCTCATAATCTTGTCACCCTGAAATTGAGTAAGCCATTTCCTGACTCTGACAGAAAAGAACTATTACTGCAGTGTAAACAGAGGCAGAGTTTTCCTGTCTCAAGAGCCCGGTCCCAAATAAACACACAAAAGCTTTTATTAATTACGGAATGCTCAACCAATAGTTCAGGCTTATTACTAACCGCTCTTACATTTAAAATAAACCCATTTGTTAACCTATGTATTGCCACGATAACCACGGCTCGTGGTTTTACCTGTCCTCTTGCATCTTGCTTCTTAGATGCTCACTGGCTTCTCCTTCTCCCCACCTTTCTTTATCCCAGTCCTCAACATCCTGCTTTGCTATGAACCAATCAGCTTTATTATTAACCCATAAGAATAAGACATATTCACAGCACATAGAAGAATTATCCCATAGCACTGCAGGAACAGTTAGAAAGAGTGCATGTGTGTGAGTGTGAGTGTGTGTGTGTGTGTGTGTGTGTGTGTGTGTGAGAGAGAGAGAGAGAGAGAGAGAGAGAGAGAGAGAGAGAGAGAGAGAGATCTATACAGACAGCACTTCTCCAGTAGGGGACTGAGTTTGGTTCCCAGTGTTCATATCAGGTAGTGTACAATCACCTCTAAGTCCAGCTCCAGGGAGTCTAATGCCCTTTTCTGACCTCCATAAGCAGGTTCTCACACACACTTTAAAGTATATATTAAAGAAACAAGAAATGAAAAGCAAGGTCTCCTGAAGATAGATTCAGATCTGAAAGGGAGAAGGTCTTACCTAAGGACCCCAGGTCATCACAGTTCTCCCATGTCACATTCTTGCAGAAACTCTTCAGAGCTGACGCAAGCTGTGGAGAGCCGTCTCTAGCTGTATCTGTGATGGTCTTCAAGCCCTGAAAAAGTACAAATACATTCATGAACCTGGGTGGCCAGAGTAGGGTGGGATGTGTCCACACACTGTAAACAGCACACTCTGGACCAGATGTATCAGCTGAATTCTGAGCAATAGAGGTTTATTGTGAATTGACTTTGTGTGTGTGTGTGTGTGTGTGTGTGTGTGTGTATGCGCGCGCACGTGCGCACTTGCATGTGCTCAAGTGCACAGTTGAGGTATTGAGAAATGAAGATGTCATAGAGTGAGGTCCTCTGAGAAAAACAGCTGCCATCTTCATGGATCAGCCACGCCTCCTAACAAGAGACCAGCAAGAGTAGCCTGTTTGTTGATGACACTCCCTTAGAGAAGGTGAGAGTCACAGGACCCTCACCTGAGATCCAAGCCACTTTCTCCCAGACATCGGATTGCAGTTCTGCCCTAACTGGACACGGCATCAGAGAGTACACACGCGGGGGAGGCTTGTTGAAAGGAGATTCAATAAAACGGGGGGGGGGGGGGGGGGTGATTCTATCTATGACACTACGAAGAAGCCACTGTTCGTGACGGGTGAAGACTTTCCAGTGTGGCCACTTTGCAGTCACCCACTCTCCTCCCAGCATTTTCTGACCTAAGCTCTGGAAATGACCCCCATACATACATTAGTTCTGGACGAACTCTGGTGAAACTGTATTTGGTGTGCTGGATAGTTTTATGTTAAGTTGATACAGAATAGAGAACTTCAGTTAAGGAAATCTGCCCACCAGACTGGCCTATAGGCAATCCTGCAGGGTATTTTCTTAGTGACTGATGTGGGAAGGCCCTGCCCACTGTGAGTGGTGCCACCTCTGCACCCATGGTCCAAGATATCAAAGGACAGGCTGAAAGAGCCATGGGAAGAAAGCATCCTACATGGCCTCTGTATCACTTCCAGCTTAAGTTTCTGTCCTGACTTCCCTAGATGATGGGCTATAAGACATACTATGAAATAAACCCTTTCTTCCCCAAGCTCCTTTTGGTCATGGTGTTTTATCACAGCAATACAATCTAACTGAGACATTTGGTCATCAGGACATTGTGAGGAGTGTAGTGGCAGTTCATTTGTATTTTAATAAAGCTTGCCTGGGGATCGGGAAAGTAAAACAGCCACACTGGTCAGCCCTACAGACCAGGCAACAGACACACACCTTTAATCCCAGCAGCCATACTAGCTTGCCACAGAAACCAGGCAGTAGTGGTGCATGCCTTTAAACCCAGAACTAGAGAGGATTATAAAATGGAAGGAGACAGCTCTCAACCACAGGCTCATTCTGAGATTCCTGGAGGCAGGATTGCCATTTTGGACCAAGGTCGAGGTAATAGCCAGGGGCGGCTGTTTTGCTTTTCCAATCTTCAGGTTGAACCCCAATCTCTCTCTCTCTCTCTCTCTCTCTCTCTCTCTCTCTCTCTCTCTCTCTCTCTGAGTTTTTATTAATCGTGCTTCAGAGGAGAGTGGATATTCTTATCTTCTAAAGGAGGAATTCTCCCAGCAGAGGGGAACAGGAGTAACTACTGAGATCATGCTCAGAGTTCTCAGACGCTTGCTCTACATCATACTTCTGTCACCTGAAGAACATGTTTGTGACTCACCCCCCTCCATCTATCTGCACACACACTCACACACACACACACACACACACACACACACACACACACACACACAGGGTTTTACCATATGTTTTAATATAATATACCTCTTTCCTCAATCCATCTACAGGAAATAGTATATGCAATGGGAATTTCTCCACTGCCCAAGGAATCATAAAGGGCTGCCTGAAGGTTACCCCTACTTACCCTTGGTGTCTGGAACACAGCATCTTCACCCCAGTTTTCCCCTAACACAGAGCACTTGGGTCTGCAGGGCAGGGGCTGGTTTCTCCGCACTGCCTGGGATAACTTTTCTTCACTTAAGACCTCTAGAGGGAACTCCTTTGTCTCCTGCAAAGCCATTATGTCTAAAAAGACATGAACAAAGCAAACAGCTCTTACTATGTGCTGCATGGTGGGGGGAGGGCACACATGTGATACACAGATATACATGCGGGCAAAATACCCAGACACACAAAATCATTTTTTAAAATAAAAAAATACAGGAGATGGAGCTAGAGAGACAGCTCAGCTGTTAAGTGCACTTGCTACTCTTCCAGAGGACCCAGGTTCAATTCCCAACACCTGAATGGTGGCTCACAACTGTAACTCCAGTTCCAGGAGAGCTACTGTCCTCTTTGCAGGCACCAGGCATGCATGTGTACAGTATGCAGACATATGCACAGGCAAAACAGCCACATATACAAAGTTATTTAAAAAAAAAAAAAGAGTGACAGAGGAAGACCTCTGACCTCTGGACTACATATAAACACACATACACACAGGTGTGTTCACCTAAACAAACATATGTGTACACACATAAACACATACATACATACATATATTTTAAAAAGATGAGTCCATAAGACTGAAAGGCAAAGGAGGGATGTAGAGAAAAGTAACTTGTCTGTAAGGGGATGTGGCTATGCTGGAGAACAGAGAGGGAGCATAAGACGGCAAAGCCCATGCTGACGAGGCCGCAGTGTCTGCTGCTGAGATTGTGAGTCTGCAGAAATAAGCTGGGCTAGCAGCAGCCCCACTGCCCCACATCCTCATGCTCACCTGGGCAATGGCCTCTTGTCGTCTTTCTTTTCATCATCCAGGGATCTTTCCCTTGCTCCAACAAGGTGATCATATCTGGCTTCGAAACACAAAGCCCTAGGTCCATAGAAAAACAGAAGAAAGAAAAACAGGATGTGGTCATGCTGGGGGTCTGTCTCGACTTGGAATGACAGGACAGAAGACGGTGCTACAGGGATCAGGGGAGGCGGGGGCAGGAGTGGGGATCCCCTTACCCACTGACGCCAGGTTCCTGTAGTTGTCCAGCATCACCTTCCAATATAGACTCCTCTGCTCAGAGCTGAGCCATTCCCACTCCTCCTGGGAGAAAACAACAGCCACGTCCCCAAATGTGACCAAGCCCTGAAATGACAAAAATGCATTGTTTCTGAGCCAGCGCCGGTGAACCCTGGTGAGCAGAGGGCTTTCAGATGAACAACAACCTCCCACCCTGTGCTCAAGCCCTCACCCCAGGCCTTCAGGATGGAGACGCACTTGCAGGCCGTCTCAGTCAGGGTTTCCATTGCTGTGGCAAAACACCATGACCAAAAGCAAGTCATGGAGGAAAGGGTTTATTTGGCTTGCACTTCCACAGTGTTGTTCATCACTGAAGGAAGTCAGGACAGGAAATCAAACTGGGCAGGAACGGGGCAGGCTCTGACGCAGAGGCCATGATGGAGTGCCACTTACTGGCTTATTCCTCACGGCCTGCTCAGTTTGTTTTCTTCTTATAGAACCAGGACCACCAGCCAGGAGTGGCCCCACCCATAATGAACTGAGCCCTCCCCAGTATCATTAAGAAAGTGTCCTGTAGGCCTGTCTACAGCTCTATCTTATTTCAACATTTATTGAGGTTCCCTCTTCTCAAGTTGACTTGAAACTGGCCAGCAAAGGCGTGCACTCACAGAAAATGTTTGTCAGAATTTTCTGACACTACATACTGAAAGCCAAGCTGTCCTGAGGACCGCAGGTTCTTCAAGCCTTTCTCAACCCTGTGGTACATGTGTGGCTTAGAACAGCACAAGGACCAGGAAAGAAACCAGGAGAAGACCCTCAAAAGATCCAAACAGCCGATCTCCCAGCTGGGTAAGGACTGCTATTGCCTATCATTTTCAAGATGTTCAGAAACACTAAAACATGATCTACCTCTTTCCAAAAAGGAAGGAAGGAAGGAAGGAAGGAAGGAAGGAAGGAAGGAAGGAAGGAAGGAAGGAAGGAAGGAAATAAGTGTGTAATTACATCAGTTGGGAAGCAGAAACTGAAGGACTCCAAGCAAGTTTGAGGCTAGCATGGAATACACACAGAGAGAGAGAGAGAGAGAGAGAGAGAGAGAGAGAGACAGACAGACAGACAGACAGACAGACAGACAGAGACAGAGATGTAGCCTATTGGCCGTGGTAGCACACGCTCATATTCTAGCACTAGGAGATGAAGGCAGGAATTTCAGGAATTCAAGGCCTAAATATCAAGTTCAAGGCCAGCCTGGACTATGTGGGACCACGTCTCAAAATATAAAATTTGGAATGGGATGGGAGGGAGAGGAGGAAGAGGGAAGAAAGGAGAGGAGTCACAATATAATGGCATGGCAGACACTGAGGAAATATTGTGCCAAACCTAAGTACTCATTCAACCAATCACAAACCGGAACAACACCTGAGCTCTTCCGCTGGGAGGCCTGTGTGCTAGAAAGCTAGTTCCCACAGGCCAGAGTCTGTGAATAGATCATCATAACTTTAGCTTGCTGCCGAACTCTGAAGGCACTTTAACACCATCATGGAAGGACAAGACAAAATGGTTGATAAGTGGTTTTGTGTGTGTGTGTGCGTGTGTGTAGGCCAGGGGGCAATGCTGTGTATCTCTTCCTCAATCAAGTTCTACCAAAAAAACAAACAAACAAACAAAAAAACGGGTAAACGGGTGTTGGAGTGAACTCAGGCCCTCATGCTTGCCCAGCAAACCCATCTCCACAGCCCCAGTGTCATTAACCCCTGCTGGGGAACTCCCCTGAGCTGGAGGCTGAAGGACCATGTGCAGTACATGTCACCTGACAACACCGGGAGAGCTGAGAACGCTCTGGGAGCTTGAGCAAAACATGAGCTAGCATGGCTGCCTGAGCCAGTCAGCCTAAAACAACAGAGCTCCACTTCCCGCCTACATCCTGCCACACAGAGCAGAACTGACAGCTTTTCGACAGGCCTTTTCATCTCGCTAGAAAGATCAACACTAGTCTCCTGAGTTGACCAGAAGCTAAATACTTCTAATTGTCAAAACTCAGCAGGATTCAGCAGTAGAAAGCTTCGAGTAGACTAATATCCAAACATTTCAATACAAACACAGTATTTCAAATAGTGTTCAAAGACAGAATTAGTGGACAGCAGCTAATACAAAGACACAGGTCTAAGTCCTGAGAATAAGTGAATGTTGCGAGTGATCAGTCCTACACCCCAAAGGCTCCGGAAGAGGGGGTGGGAAGAATGTAACAGCTGGAAGACGGGGAGGAGTGCTATGAATATGTATTACTCTCATTGGCTAATGATAAAGAGCTGACTTGTCGATAGCTAGGCAGGATTACTCAGGGCACTGGAATGTTGGGAAGAAGAAAGGAAGAGTCTCAGGAGCTGTGAGGAGATGTAGAGACAAGCTGAATGTGCCATGCTAAAAGAGGTACTGCCATGAGGCAGAGCATAGATAAGAAATATGTGTTGGTTTAAAATGTAAAAGTTAGCTAGTAACAAGCCTGAGCTATCAAGTGAGCACTCATAATTAAGAGTAAGTCTGTGTGGTTATTTGGGAACTGGAGGGTAGGACAGAAGAGTCTACCTACAATGCTACTTCCTGGATATGACAAGGCTGCTCCACTCAGGAACTGCTCAGCTGTGGTCACCTGCACAAGATCAAACCAACAAGGGCAGGCAACACCCCAGCAGCTGGCACTGATTCAATGCATAACTCACAGAAAAAGGAAATAATGTAAAGAGGAGGATTACGTATGAGGGGGCGGGAGGAAGGATTTGTGGTGCCTACGGTCGAGATACACTGTTCTCACATACAAAACTGACAAAGAGTAAGTAAAAGGTACCTTCTGCTAAAAAGGGAAAGGAGGCAAGGCAGATGAGGGTTCTCAGACCTTGCTGACTGCTGGTCCAAGAACATTTACATTCTCACACAACTTCCCACAGGCTTTTATAGGGTCCAGTCCCAGAGCTCCAACTTCAAGGTTCTGGAAATTCAGTCTTGTACTCATTTTCCCCCAAATTTTCAAATACTTTTCATATATGCTTTACTGATGTGGGAGTGTCATATATCAATCTGTTGATTTCATTGGTTAAGCAATAAAGAAACTCCTTGGCCCTGATAGGTTAAAACATAGGTGGGAGGAGTAAACAGAATAGGATGCTGGGAGAAAGAGGAAGTGAGCTCAGACCCGACAGCTCTGCTCTCTGGAGCAGAGACGCCATGCTCAGCTCTCCAGGGTAGACGCGATAGCTCTGCACTCTGTGGCAGACGTGATGAAGCTCAGACCCAGGATGGACTTAGGCTAGAATCTTCCCGGTAAGCGCACCTTGGGGTGCTTACACACATTATTAAAAATGGGCTAAATTAATATGTGAGAATTAGCCTAGAAGAGGCTAGATAGAAATGGGCCAAGCAGTCTTTAAATGAATACAGTTTGTGTGTTGTTATTTCGGGCATAAGCTAGCAGGCGGCTGGGGTGCTGGGGACGCAGCCCCGCCGCTCTTATTTCAACACTTTACTAAACAAACCAAGTCATCTTTCTCTAAATTTTTTAATCTGTATGTTTTTAGAAATTTTTGAATTCAAGGAAATGATGCATATTTTTCGGAATATGAAACCACACTGTGTATACAGCAGTGCAGCATCCACAACAGAATGCTTTTATAGGTTTTTTTTTGCTTCAGTTTGGTTTTGGTTTTTCCAGATAGGGTTTCTCTGTGTAGCCCTGGCTGAAACCCACCTGCCTCTGCCTTCAGAGTGCTGGGACTAAAAGAAGTGCACCACATTGACTTTAGTTTTTAAATAGAAATAAAAAAGAGAGAAAATCTTCAGATTACAAAACTCCTTCCCAAAAACAATTTTTAAAAAATCACCTTTTCTAAGTGTCCCAAAGTAACAAACATGTTGTGTCTAGCCATGACTGATTCCGACTACACTCAGGTCTGCTTCCCCCAGCACTGTTACTACCTTGTCACCATCAAGGAGACTGGAATTTGGTGACTCCCAAAGGAAAGAAAAGCAGTCAGATGTTTTCTTAAAACTGGAAATAACTGGTTTTGACTTTCCTTTTCCTTTCTGAAACAAAATCTTGCCCTGATGCCTTGGCTTATCTCAAACTCCTGGGCTCAAAATGCTACTGGGACTGCATACAGCATCATACTGAGTACCTGAAATAACAGAGCAGCCACACCCCGGCTCCCTCCCTCCCCCCTCTCTATTCTTTCTCTTCCCCCCACCCTGCTACCTCTCACCTCTCTCTCTCTCTCTCCTTCTCTCCCATGTGTGTAAGGGTGTGATCATGAACGAGAAAGCAAATTTCCAGGAAGAAAGAGAATGAAAGTGAAGGGCAGATGTCAGAGATAAGGAGGAGCCACTTCTCAGACTTCTTAATCACTTTAGGGACTGTCTTCAAGGACAATTTGGAAAGTTTTGAGAAGACAGCTGACGTGGCAGGGGCTGACATGCAGAGAACTCTTCAGATGAGAAAGGAGTAGAAACAGAGGTCATAGAAGCACAGAGGCAGGAGGCCTAGAGTGAGATAATGATGAAGGGCTGGTGTCCTGGTAACACTTTTAATCCCAGGATTCAGGAGGCAGAGGTGAGCAGATCTCCATGAGTTCAAGGTTGTCTACACAGCAAGCTACTGGTTAGCCAAGGATACATAGTGAGACCCTGTCTCAAAATCAAAGGAAAAGAGAAAGGGGTCCCAGACCCAACGTAGGAAAACTGGACTTTTGCATGCTTCCTTGACTTTCTGTCAACAGGTTGTGAGTTCCTAGAGATCAAGAAAAGCTTTAAATTAAAAATTATCCCTAAAAAAGTGATTACATTTATTTGTATGTGGGTGTACACAAGCATGCATGTGAATGCCAGAAGACAGCTTTCAGGAATCAGTTTTCTCCTTCCTCCCTGAGATCAAACTCAGGTTATCCAGCGTGGCAGCAAGTAGCTTTACTCACTGAGCCATTTCACCAGTGAAAAACTCGTGTGTGTGTGTGTGTGTGTGTGTGTGTGTGTGAGAGAGAGAGAGAGAGACAGAGAGACAGAGAGACAGAGAGACAGAGAGCGCAGCATGCTCAGCAGTTCCTTTTACTGCTCTGAGACAGTTTCTCACTAAATTAGAAGAAGTTCACCTTTTTGGCTAGGCTGATGGGCCAGAGAGCTCTAGAAGGTATGTGCCTCTACCTGGAAATGCTGAGGTCTACAGGAACACACTTGCCTTCTTACATAGGTACTGGGGATTCAGACTCAGGTCCTCATACTTGCAGAGCAAGTGCTCTTTCCACTGAGCCCTTGCCTCAAACCCTAAAGGGAACTTAGCCATAATATATTTCTCCTACGTTGAGGACATCAATGAAAACAGGTAGAAAGATTGCTGCATTCCTGAACATAAGAACCCTTCTGAAGCAGGGCTTGGTGGTGCACACCTTTAATCCCTCTACTCAGGAGGCAGAGGCAGGAGGATCTCTGTGAGTTCACAGCTAGGCTGGTCTACAGAGTGAGTTCTAGGACACCCAGAGCTGTATAGATAATCCTTGTCCAAAAAAAGTCCTTCTGAGACAAGTGGAACAAAGAAAAGGGATACATCATTTTTTTTCAACCAAAAAAGAAATGTTGAGATGAAAAGGAAGGCAGAGGAAGAGCCCTGAACAGTCTGAAGCTATCCCTGTAGCCCATCACTCACCAGAATATGAGGAAACAGCGCCCAGAACAGGTCTCTTAAACTGAAAACTTTTCAGAGAAAATAAACATTATTAAGTGGTGAAAAAGCAAGACTATTTCAGGAAGCAAAGAGAAAACGTGACTCACCTGAGACTGGGCTTTAAGTTTAGTCCCTGCAGGGGTAGCTTCCTGTTTGCAGTTACTCTCCTGGAGGAAGTTGGTATCTCTGGAAAGCAGAGCTGGGGAAAAGGAAGGGCTAGATACCAAGTCTACACAAGACTACACCCTACACAAGCAGGGTAGAACCATTTTGAAAAGAAGAGATGAGATCCCGCTACTTCCCTGTGCTGGAGTAGGCAAACGGTGGAATGGGGAGTGGGGCTGTCTCTTTTTTGAAAGTTTATGTGTGTGTGTTGCTTGCGTGTATATAAGTGCACCATATGTGTGCCTTGTACCCATGAAGTTCAGAAGAAGGAATCATACCCCTGCCACTGGAGTGAGGGATGGTTGTGAGCCATCTCTCCAGCAGAAACAATGGGCACGGAGACAAGTCTAAACTAAGGTGACCTGACGTCGTCAACGTCCCCGCTACACTTCTGCTTGACTGCTCTGGCTCAAAGTTGCGCTTTCAAAGGTTGATTCCCGTTTAACTTCGCACTCAGTCCAGAGACACCATCTCCAGCACCAAGGACTCGAACCTTCGGACCTTACCCTCCCTCCACACCCAGAATAGGCTCATCTCTGTCCACTCAGGCTGGACACAAGTCACTCACCTCTGTGCGTAGGCCCCGAGGTCACTGCTCCGTGCCCGCCCTGGGAGGCCAGGCCATTCCTGGAGCGCGGCCTGCCCCGGGCGGGGCGCCCACGAGCGACTGAAGTCCCCGCCACAGGACCTCCACCAGCCCTGGGCTTTGTGAAGAGGGCGCCGCGCCCCAGGGGGGGCCGGGGCTCGCATGGCCCCGCACTCGCCTCCCCACGCATGTCACACGAGGGTCGCCCGCTCTCGTGGCCAGGCCGCAGACGCCCTCCAAGGCCGCGCCTCACGGACACACCCCCGGCCACACCCGCACCCTCCAGTCCACGCCCGCCACGCCCCGACCAGCCACGCCCTCTCCCTGCCTAACCCGGCCCTGAAGGTTCCGACCCTCAGTCAGTTCAGCCGGAACGAGCCGGAAGTGGACTTTGCTTGCGCACAAGGCCCGCTGGGAAGTGTAGTCCGCAGCCGGAAAAAAAAAATCAGTGGCGCCGAGCGGGACTCAGCCTGCCCGGCTCCAGCCCTGTGAGGGGAGGCCACTACTGTGAACTACGGTACCCTGCCGGAAACACGGGTCGGACGAGATACCAAATAGCTCCCCAGAGGTTTCTGGGAGTTGAGGTGGCAGTAGGAGCGTTCGTGCGCCGCGGCAGGGCGACCGGCGGGTCGTTTGAAGTTGATTTGACTGAGGGGAGTTGGGGGATGTTGTAAATTGGGCTGGGGTAATATGTGGCCTTGACAAATCATGCACAGTGGTTCTGGTTGGAGGTGCTAGTCGGTTTGGGATTTAGTTGCTGCGACCACCTCAACGCTAATAATACATGGTGTTCAAAAGGCCCCACTACATGTACTACCAGGTTCTAGGTCTGCAATCTTCCCCAGATTTTCTTCTGGGATGCTCCTTTAAAATGCTTATTCTTTGTCAATTTCAGATCTGTATATACACCGTATCTTAGTCATATCCAACTCATTTGCTCTCCCAACCACACCCATCAGACACCCCTAATACTTCCACGTTCGTGGTTTTTTGTTGTTGTTTTGTTTTGTTTTTTAATATAACCAACTGAATCCAGTTGGTGCTTCGTGACCATGGGTCATGCCTTGACCATCCACTTGAGCACGGGCAATCTATGGGGTGGGATGGGAGGGCACATCCCCAAAGAAAAATGACTCCCTTTCTTTCTCCCAGCTGCCTTCATTTGCCAATAGTTTCTCAGCTAGGTGTGGCGGGGTAAGTAAGCCCTTCTATCCATGGTGGGATACTCATTGGCCCAGTCTTAGGCAAGAGTCACAGTTTCTGTGAGCTCATGAGCAGCACAGTCCAGAAGCATTCCACAGCGCTCCCCACCATTTTCAGACTCTTACATCTTTCTGCTCCTTCCTTGTACCTGACCTTGAGAAGGTTTTTTTTTTTCCTTGTCGCGCGGGGCCTTGGCTGTTTTGTTTTCGTCATTCATTTATCATCAAGAGCGCCGCCTAGTATCAGAGCTCCAGTTACCTCTTCTCACTACTTTTTTCTTCATGCTTTTGAGACAGGGTCTCACCATGTAGCCCTGCCTGATGTGAAACTCTCAGTGTAGAGCAGAATGGCCTCAAACACACAGAGGGCTGTCTGCCTCTGCCTCCCAAACGCTGGGATTAAAGGTGTGCGCCACAACACCCAGCCTCTTGTCACCACCCTTTAAATTCCCCTTCATACACACTAGCTGCTGTGTTCCTCCTGTTCATGTCCACGTGTAGAAACAGGGACGATGCCCTGGACCTGAGGGCTTGTTGCTCAGCAACTGATCTCACTGGAAAGAGCACACGTGGCATTGCTATTAGTGCAGCCACCATCAGTCCCGTCTCCTTTTCCAAAGGACTCATGATCTCAATAACTAAGATTCCTGATTAGAGCCATCAAGGAAGCCTTTGAGACACCTGCACAGCATAGGTAAGGTCAATACAATTCAGTGTCCCAGAAAAGGCCGTTCCAGAGTCAGAAAGACCAACAGCTGAACAGCTGACAAACTCTGTTACTTGTCTCTTCAGTGTCTGTTGTCATCCTCCCATGCTTGCAGAATACATAATGTGTTCTGTTTCCAGACAAACGGACCGACAGCACAAATTACGATACCATATTCGTCCTGGCTAGGTATCAAACAAACAAATGTACAAAACTAATATAAAGGGATTTACAAACCTCCGAAATATTTGAGAATTAGCACTATCCTAAATATTAAATCAAAGAGTACATTTTTAGGAAAATATAAAAAATATTTTGAAAGGAAAAAAATGAATCGGGGCTGGAGAGGTAGCTCAGTGGTTAAGTGTGCACAAGACCTGAGTTCAGCTGAGAGCTTTACAATCACCTGTAACTCCAGCGCCAGGGTATTCCACACCCTGTTCTGGCCTCTGAGGGCATCTTCACACATGTGCACATACCCACACAGAGACACACATAATTAAAAATAAATCTTTCAGAATAACAAAACTAGATGATACATATAAAAGTATCATATAATCGCCTCTAACTTGAATAAATAGCCAAGTCGATTTTTCTTCATTTTGAAAATCAAATTTAGAACTAAATGAAAATACAAATACATGTCCAGACTTGTGACTAGCAACTAAAGGTTTTTTTTTTTTCAGAAAAAAAAGTAGTTAATGTAGATATCAGAAAAATGGAAGCTCAGAACTAAGCTTCCAATTTCAAAATAAAAACTGGATTTAAAAAAATATCAAAGTAAACCACGGGCTGGGAAGAGGAAGCAACAGGCAGACATACATACACACACGTACACACAGAGAGAGACAGAGACACAGAGACAGTGACAGACAGAGAATCAGCTAAATTCCAAACAGAATGTTAAAAAAATCAATGAAACAAAACGCTTTTTAAAAAATCCAGTGCATAAATAGACAAATAGACAGATGGATAGATGGACAGATGAACAGACAGATAGATCCAAACTGCCCAAGAAACAAACCAAAGAGAAAAAGGGCAGATGTAGGGGCACATGTCTTTAATAACACTCAGAAGGTAGAAGCAAGCAGATCTCCTGTCAAAATGGGCTCCCTGTTCCCACCACCTCTTTAAATGGACTGCTGCAGATGGCCTGGGAACACATGTCACAACAATCACATGACCTGGCCTCCCAGGACTCATGTCCGCTTGTTTCAACTCAACAAAAGAAAACTGGGCCGGGCAGTGGGGGCACACACATTTAATCCCAGCACGTGGGAGGCAGAGGCAGGCAGATCTCTGTGAGTTTCGAGGCCAGCTTGGTCTACAAGAGCTAGTTCCAGGACAGGCTCCAAAGCTACAGAGAAACCCTGTCTCGAGATAGACAGACAGACAGACAGACAGACAGACAGACATAGAAAGAAAGAAAATAAAGCTGGACCCTTGGTCCCAATAACACTATTGGCTCACAGATGCCCCTCATGTTCCTTTACTTCTCTGTGTGGCTCTGTTCTGTGCTGATATGTCTCCTAATCATTGGAGAAATGGTCTCCATCCAAATTTAATGTCAAGTTGCTAAGCATCTCATATGCAATAAATAGACATTTCACAATGGGTTTTAGAAGAGTTATATAAATAACATTTATATTTTTAAAAGATTCTCTGATTGTAAAATGAATAATAAACATGAAGAAAACAATACCAATCACAGACATTTGGAAAAGTCCAAGTAAAACAATTGTATTTTGGAGTATGGTAACAGGAACAAAAATAAATGGACATACTTAGCAGGTGTATACACAGGACTTGGTGACATTGAGGAATGTCTGAGAGGCCTCTGCACGGAGAACTCGCCAATGATGGACATTTTAAGAACCCTGACCGAGGACTTCTCCACAGTCCTCGCATTCCTAAGAGCTCTCTTACCTGTGTAAATTCTTCCCTGTAGAATAAGCATTCTGGTTGAAAGTTAAATTCTCTGATGAATGGTAAAGATTTGTCACTGGCTAAAGGGTTTTCCAGAGGAGGATACAGTTTTAAGGTTTCTTTCCAGTATGACATCTTTGGTGACAATTAAGGGATGACCTGGTTCTGAATGCCTTTCCACACCTATCACACACATAGGGCCTCTGACCTGTGTGAAGTCTCTGATGCTGAGCACGGGACGAGCCATCCCCAAAGGCCTTTCCACATTCGCTACACTTGTAAGGCTTCTCTCCAGTATGAACTCTCTTATGTCTTATAAGGTAGGCAGTATGAGTGAAGGTTTTCCCACAGTCTTTACATTCATAAGGCTTCTCTCCTGTATGGATTTTCTGATGTCTGGCAAGATAGGTACTTCTTTTGAAAAACTTGCCACACTGCTTACATTCAAAAGGTTTTTCTCCTGTGTGATTTCTCTGATGAGTGGTCAGCTGTGAACTTTCTCGAAAAGCTTTCCCGCACTCCTTACATTCGTAGGGTTTTTCTCCAGTATGAATTCTTGAATGAACAACAAGATGTATACTCTGCCGAAAAGCTTTCCCACACTCCTTACACTTATAAGGATTCTCTCCAGAATGTACTCTTTGATGGCCAGTGAGTGACATGCTGTGGCTGAAGGCTTTCCCACAAACATCACATTTGTAAGGTTTCTCGCCGGTGTGGATTCTGTGGTGGACAGTCAGGGAAGACCCACTGCGGAAGGCCTTCCCACACACGGTACATTTGTAAGGTTTCTCTCCAGTGTGAATTCTCCTGTGCAAAGTCAGTCCGACGTGAACACTGAAGACTTTCCCGCAATCAGTGCAGTCAAACGGCTTCTCTCCAGTGTGATAATGCCTGAAGTGACGAGTAAGGGACATGCTATACCTGAAGGCTTGGCCGCACTCGACACACTGGAAGGGCCGCTTGTCGTTGTGACACCTCTGATGTTGAGCAAAGGTAGAACTATCCCTGAAGGCCTTCCCACATTCCTTACACTTGTAGGGCTTCTCCCCAGTGTGGATCCTCTGATGCTGAGCCAGGTGTGCAGGCTGCCTGAAGGATTTTGTACATTCCTTACACTTATATGGTTTTTCTCCAGTATGAATTCTCTGATGCACAATGAGGTATGAATTCTGGCTGAAGGCTTTCTTACACTCCTTGCACTCAAAGAGTTTCTCGTGCGTGTGTGTTGTGTGATGCTGGGCCAGGTGGTGGCTCTGCTTGAAGGCTTTCCCACACACTGTGCACTTATATGGTTTTTCACCCGTGTGAATTCTCTGATGAACAGTGACGGATGAGCTATGGGTGAAGGTTTTCTCACAGTCGCTACATTTAAAAATGTTCTTCCCTGCCCAGATTTTCTTGTATTTTCGTACCTTGGGATTTTTGGAGAGGCTTTTCTTATTTGCCTTGTGACTATACAT